TCTATGTCACTTCATCTGTTTTATACCACTTATGCACAGTATATAAAGTAGCATAAATTGAGTAAGTTTATTTTGCTGTAGCTTGAACCTCTCCATTAAAGTTATTTTAACTGGGAACTGCAAAAAGCAGGTTTGTTGGTGGATTAGTTTATTGTGAGGTGAAGCAGTGCTTTGTGGGTTGCGCTATGTGCAGGAGCTGGCTGACGAGCTGGCCCTGGTGGATGTGATGGAAGACAAGCTGAAAGGAGAGATGATGGACCTGAAGCATGGCAGTCTCTTCCTCAGAACACCCAAAATAGTTGCAGACAAAGGTAAGCTTATATCCCAGATGTGCCAAGAAACACTGATAAACACAGTATGGGTGAGTATGTGATGTGATGACAGAGCTTCTGCCCTGCTCCTCTTCTTTCTTCCTCTCAGACTACTCTGTGACAGTGAACTCCCGCATCGTGGTGGTGACAGCTGGAGTCCGTCAGCAGGAGGGGGAGAGCAGGCTGAACCTCGTCCAAAGAAACGTCAACATCTTCAGGCACATCATCCCCCAGATTGTCAGATACAGCCCCGACTGCATTATTGTTGTTGTTTCAAACCCAGGTACTGTTAAACACACAAATGCTTTCTATTCTCTGTTGTCGCTTTTTAAGACATTACCTTTTAAACTCTCTTGAACAGTTGATGTGCTGACTTATGTAACCTGGAAACTGAGTGGCCTTCCCAAGCACCGCATCATCGGTAGCGGCACCAACTTGGACTCGGCCCGCTTTCGCTTCCTGATTGCTGACAAACTGGGAATCCATCCCAGCAGCTTCAACGGATGGATCCTAGGAGAACATGGAGACACCAGTGGTAAGGATGTGTGGTGATTTCCGCCCTCTGAACCAACTGCATGTGAACAAGCAAAAAGAAAGTATCACTCTGTGTAACTGACCAATTTATGTTTATGTAAAGAGAGTGATGGTTTCAACATGTGTTTTAGTGCCTGTGTGGAGTGGGACTAACGTAGCTGGGGTCAACCTGCAGACGTTAAACCCGGACATCGGCACCAACTGTGACAGTGAGAACTGGAAGGAGACCCACAGGATGGTGGTGGACAGGTATAGCCACAGTTCACTTGCGTTGTTTCCTTGATTAATACAGTGTTTTTAGGCATGGTGTTTTGTATAAGCCTCATAATGTTGTTTTACACCTCTCACTCCCTTTCTCTCTCTGGCTCTAACCCTCTGTCTGTGCCTAAACTGTCACAATCCTCTCTGTGCCACTTTCATTAGTGTAGCAGCAGTCATGAAACAATCTTCTAAGAGTGTCGAGTTTGTTTTCATCACCTCACATCATTTCTTGTCCAAACATAAACCAGTCTGATGCCTCCGCTGGTCTTTTAAGTTATGTCTTGTGTTTCTCAGTGCTTACGAGGTGATCAGACTGAAGGGTTACACCAACTGGGCCATTGGTCTAAGTGTAGCTGACCTGACAGAGAGCCTCATGAGGAACATGAACAGGGTTCACCCTGTTTCTACCATGGTGAAGGTGAAGGATGCTCTCACACACATCTATTCTCACATTCAGTTCAGGCATACAGAGTGAATGACAGGCTGCATTTCCACTAAAAATGACTGTGTGCTATGGAAGGTAAAATCATGCACCTCAGAGCAAAGTACTTCAATACTACACTGATGCAATAAATGTCTCATTTTAGTAAATTTAGTTTCTTGTCAAACTGTTTAGAACTGCATGAATTTGAATTTTTCATGCCCATATTAACATCTTCAATTTATAATTTTAATTTGTTATGCTGAATTTATTTTAGTACAACTTTTAATATGATTACAGTAATTTTTGTAATTCTTAATGTGTCAGTATGTCACAATGGCATAGGGATCTGAGATGTGGTCCACTTAATGTGCCAAATTTAAATCAGGCCAAGCAGAGTTAAAAAACCAAAAGGGTCAAAATAAAATAAAAATTCTCCATGCACATAGATACTTTGGTCCCCGAATGGAACATTTAAAGCAGGAAAATATATAATTTGTTTTACCTTTAAACTTCATTGTTCAATTCTCCAATTACAGTTTTCGATTTTTTTAAAATACCTCAACAATTAACATTTTTGTAGTTTGGATCCACGTTCTGTTGCCCCATATCTGTTATAGGAACATATTCTCTGTCTTTATTGATCAACAGGGCATGTATGGCATCAGTGATGAGGTGTATCTGAGTCTGCCCTGTGTGCTGAACAGCGGGGGTGTGGCCAGTGTGATAAACATGACCCTGACAGATGAAGAGGTGGCCCAGCTGCAGGCCAGTGCCAGTACACTGTGGGACATCCAGAAGGACCTGCAGCATCTCTAGATGGTCAGCAGGAGGCACAAATACCTGCACGTCACCTACAGTAATATCACTTTCCTGTTGCTAAAAGCACATAGCTCCACCTTCTGTCCACTGTAGATTGATGGGTGTATGTATGTGGCTTAATCCCATTAGATTTAGCTGTAGAGTCAGAGTGTGTACACGTTGGCTCACTGGAGACCAATTGTAACACCAGCTGAGTTAAACGCTGCTCAGTTCAAATTCAGCTCTTGTTCGGCTGGGTAGTTGTCTGGATTTCCTACCCCTTCATTAATTTAGCCATGTTTACAGTGTATTTAATGTAAACTGGTTGCTTAAGTTGTGGAAATAAAACAAGAGAATGTGGAAACCAATAGTGACATTTGGGCATTTTAGTGGAAAGGACAAATATATTAAAGTACTTTTATAAATACTGGGTGCCTATGGAGAACAAAAATGGGTAACAAGTTTGGGTTACAAGGTGTTCACAGCCTTGTTCTTATTGTTGCAATTAAAAGGGGAAAATAGCCAGTGTAATGAATGATCCTGAATGGCAGTGATCACTGTAGTAAAAATATACAACAAAAGTATAAAACACACTTTATTTCAAATATGTACTTACAAAAGTTACAGTAAAAGATTTTCCTCAAACCTTTTTCAGAAAAGTTCAGGTTTTGTTGCCTCCTTCTTTGCATTTACATGTAGCTTGTTTATTTTAATGTACAAAGTTCCAGAAACACTTCATTGAGGAACTTAAGAATGCTCCGTGTCTGTTCAGGCACACAGTCTGAAGGAGAGTGGTGCTATGAAAGGCTCCGGACTCTGAGTTAATCCAGTGGTCCCAAGTTAACAGTCCATATCTACCAGACTGGAATGATACAAAAAAGGAGACCAGCTTCCACCCTTTAAAGTAAATAATCTCTTGGTAATGTTGTCCAATGGCAGACAGATACAAACAATTTTCTTCTGACAGAGGAAACTTCATGGGGTCAGTCTTTTTTGTGCCGAGAAATGTTTGACAGTGATCGAAATGTACAATCACTATTAGAAGCTATGATAAATTCCACCTTCCAACACAGAAAAAGGCCACTGCTATACCATAGTGTTGCTCTCACCGATTTTGTCTACCAGCTGAAAAAGAAAAAACAAACATCCAGAGTTATAAAATGAACCTGTCAAATATAAACTTGTGATGCAATCAAGATCTCAACCTTGGACAAGGACCTCCGAAAAATCAGGATAGCCATATATATCTGTAGGTTTTTTTATATT